CCCCTCGATCAAGCACCCTCCTACCGTAAAGCGCCCCCCTCGATCAAGCACCCTCCTACCGTAAAGCGCCCCCCTCGATCAAGCACCCTCCTACCGTAAAGCGCCCCCCTCGATCAAGCACCCTCCTACCGTAAAGCGCCCCCCTCGATCAAGCACCCTCCTACCGTAAAGCGCCCCCCTCGATCAAGCACCCTCCTACCGTAAAGCGCCCCCCTCGATCAAGCACCCTCCTACCGTAAAGCGCCCCCCTCGATCAAGCACCCTCCTACCGTAAAGCGCCCCCCTCGATCAAGCACCCTCCTACCGTAAAGCGCCTCCCTCGATCAAGCACTCTCCTACCGTAAAGCGCCCCCCTCGATCAAGCACCCTCCTACCGTAAAGCGCCCCCCTCGATCAAGCACCCTCCTACCGTAAAGCGCCCCCCTCGATCAAGCACCCTCCTACCGTAAAGCGCCTCCCTCGATCAAGCACTCTCCTACCGTAAAGCGCCCCCCTCGATCAAGCACCCTCCTACCGTAAAGCGCCCCCCTCGATCAAGCACCCTCCTACCGTAAAGCGCCCCCCTCGATCAAGCACCCTCCTACCGTAAAGCGCCCCCCTCGATCAAGCACCCTCCTACCGTAAAGCGCCCCCCTCGATCAAGCACCCTCCTACCGTAAAGCGCCTCCCTCGATCAAGCACCCTCCTACCGAAAAGCGCCCCCCTCGATCAAGCACCCTCCTATCAATGAGCCTCTTAAATCGCTCAAACGAGGATTTGAACGGAAAAAAGGAATGAAAGAGAAAAATTAATGCAATTAATGCAATTAAATACTGGAGCTATTCACCAGTCCCGTGAGCATGAAAATTGACTCTGTTGTTTCCCTCTTACCCATCTCTGGAAAAGACAGAGGCAAAACTTCTTGCACGAATAATTCCCTTACCAAGAGCTAATCGGTAAACCTCGACTAACAAATTAATAGCAGTTGCCAGCTAAGAGAGTTTGTTTCCCATATCATTGAATTTCGATACTCTCTTGTTCTGTGAAATTTCTTCCTAGTAGGAATGACCACACCCTTCGTCCTCTTGCGCCAAAATGCATCACTATGCCAGACTGACTTAATGTCATAACCTTGCAAGAACCAATGGGCTGTTTGCAGTATAAGGAGCTGTCTGACCTTTATCAGTCTGAACTTAAACTCCTTTCCAGTAAGGGAGTTCTGACTGTGTTATAGTTAATTTGCTACTATGATGATTGGTATTTTGAAGTTCCCATCAGGGTCACTGATTTGTCATTCTCTTTTCCATTAGTCGTACTATGAAGACTTACCTTAAATATGTAGGCAATGACCTTTTCAGCACATTCAAGACTCGAAAATAACCTGAGATTTCACTGATTTTGCTTAAGACTGCAGATGTAAGAGATAACTGAATACTTAATTTGACGATGTAGCCTGATCGTCCAGGTGAGTGTAATCCTTAGAAGGACTGTTGTCAGTTGTGGTGACTGACATTTCGACAACCTGAGTGGAAGTCATCCTCACAGTCAACTGAAAAGTTGTTATCAGTCGAGTGTTGTAAGTCCCGTTCGTGTAAAATGATTGGTCAGTTCAGCCGCTATGTTAGTGGCTATGAGACAAGTGGTGTAAGATTTCATGACTGGTCTGTTTCGATCCGTCGGTAATATCAAGCCGTTCTGTTCAGTTCTTTCGTATTATAAATGTCGTGAATAAGTCATTCGCATTGTGCCGGTAGTTGTTAACATTTGTTCAGGGGAGTTTTTTCAGCTTCTCAAGTGGGGCTCTCGAGGCTTTTTTTCAGGAAAGACGAATAGAATCATGGGCGGATGGCGCTTAGCGGAGGAAACGGCAGCGTCATTCCCGTTACTTTTTTTTTTCACCCAATTGCTCCTTTGCACGTTCCCACCGGCGGAGAACCCAGCACAGGCTGGTGAGTCATACTGCCCCCTTTCCTACCAAGATAATGGATAGCTATATCGCACGAATCTTGGGAAAAAAACATAGTGATCGAAACCTCTCAAAATATAACTCTCTTAGGAGGTTATCCGATCTTTCATGTTATTATTACAGATAATGTTCTCATTTTTATTCTTTAGAACAAATTCTCTAATACAGTTCGCTGAGTACCTATCCAAATTCCAAATTCTATGATACAGTTTGCTGAGTACCTATCTAAATCCCAATGTCCCTATTTAAACACGAGGGCGCGCTATATAAGGAAGTCTTTCCAGGGAAGACCTAGGCTTATTTCTCACTCACTGTTGGAGTGTGCGGGTCAAATTTAAATGCTGGTAGACGAACAGAAGGAGCTAATGAGATATCTATTGTTTACTTCCACCAGCATGGTGGCAATGAGGTAACGTGCGAACCACCTACTTCGATCTCAAATTTACCGCCACAAATAAGACAGTTTCCATTGGAGAAAGGAAATACAAATGTCAAAAATTCTTGTATTGTGATGTAGACATAAAACAATTTTGAGGAATGCGCCCGCTGTTCACTGCTTTGGAGTAGCTGTAGCTCAAGCTGACTTGACTCTAAGAGTTCTACAACACACGACTGTTGATTGACAAATGGTCAAGTGGTACCTAAGGCTTGATTTTATAGCGCGCCTTCGTGTTTGGAATAAGGCTCAGAAATGAATTACACCAGATAAAAATACACACCGTATTTACTCGATTAAGAACCTTGGGCGCGCTTTTGTGGCGGGGCACTTATCGATTTTTTCACCATTTTCAGGAAGTAGTAAGTTTGCTTTGGAAATGATAAAAAAAAACTTGAAGATGTACCATAGGCAGTGAAGTTAGAGATTAAAAGCTCGTCGAGTAACTATTACCAATACTCTTTTTGGTAATGGGTTCAGATTTTGTTTTGTTTTGTTTTTTTTTTTTTAGGGGGGGGGGCTTTTAACTACTTCCACTGACAGGATAGGCGTTCATTCTAAGTAGTCGCTTAATCGAATAAATACGGCACTCTTTTAAATATTTTTACACTCCTTTTCAAGGAGAAATGTATTAATTGCTTCCCAAAACTCCATGTATTAAAAATGATCATGACTTCAAAAGTGAAATTTTCCCAATTCAACAATTATTATAAATGAGTCGATTCTCATTCCAGGCAACCAACCTTATGGGCTTGAGGCCGTATGACGTAAGTTACTCGGTACGTTTACTTGATCTCTTTCATTTGCTTTAATTTGTAATGGGTTGGTACGAGTGATCGAGAGAAACTTTGCATCAATACTACAATTAACAAATGGTAAACACCACAGCGTACACTATTGAGTTATGGATGCACGCGGGAGGTTGCTAAGCACGAAAGAAGCGTAAGAGTCGCTCGAGGCGATAGCCGCGGAGAGCGACTCTAGCTTCTTGAGTGCTTAGCAAACCTCCCAAGTGCATCCATAACTCAATAGTGTACACTGTGGTGTTTACCATTTGTTTTATAACATAACATTGATACATTGTAGCTAAAGAGTTCCCTTTTATTTAACAAATCTTACGTGACCAGAAAAAAACAAGCGCGCGCGGAAAAATAGTCTTTGCATTTGCTCACGTCAGCATCGTACACCTATGGGCAAATGGGGGACGCTAAATTGACCAATCAGAGCGCGCGCTTTATTTTGGTTATGTTATAATTTAGCTTCAGATTCATTGACAGTCAGAGGGCGGGTTCTTGGGTTCTTTCCGTCATCACTGGTGCTCCCTTAAATACAGTCATTTGTGTTTTGATCAATTGAAGCCGAAATCGACCACTGGAAATTACAGCAAATGAAAGAAATCATTGATATCACTTTGTCGGGCATTGTGCAGCATTTTGCTCGCTAAAATGGAGATTTTGGCAGGCGAAAATTATTTGACGTTCGCGTGATTGTTTAAACTGTTTCTTTTTCAGTTTCTACTTTATCAATGCCCTCAAAGCGATAATAGTTGTAAAAGGGTTTAAGTTTTGTGGCATAAATATGTTTCGGGCCCTTTTAAAGAGTCATTTCAACGCTCGCCTAGAGCCTCGGGCTAAAATGACGCTGAGAGAGACAGAAATGTATATCTAGGAGTTATTTCGTGATTTATAGATACAGCCGAGTTTTGAGGCAAAAAAAAATAAGAAAAATCTCAAAAGCTGTAGACTAGTGTATTTCGAGAACCCCTAAACATTGCAAGTGGCCATAAATCACAAAATAACAAGAAATTTATACAATTATCTCCAAAAAAATACTTAGGATACCTGCCACAGCTGTTACACAACTTTAACCCATCGTTAAAAATAACGCTCGTATGCAAAAAAATACTTTGTTGAGTTTAAAATTATACACCAACGAGCACTATCGTTTCAATCAAACGATGATTCTTTACAAGAGAAGAAACTTAAAATTTTACGAGAGAAACAAAATAAATTGTGGCTGTGAACCCTTGACTTATTTCAAAATATTTTGTAACATATAGATATAGGCTGAAGAGAAATGACTTCAATTTAATATCCAATTATTTTGTCATTCTATTCAAATATTTAATTATTTTGATGTCGAATATCTCCTCCTAACATTAAACAATTTAAATGTTCCTTTTTGATCCGTCATTTCCACTCAGAAAACCACAGAGAAAAGATTTCGCGCTTTTAGAGAAGCATGTCGCCAAGAAATTGACGGGAAAATCGCAGTGTTGACCTGCCTCGACGTTTGTTATTTGAAGATTACACTTGAATTATATCAGCATATTGTTGATCTCTCAGGTAACTATTTTGGAATATTCTTAAGATCTCTATGTGTATTTAATTGCTGTCTGTGTGTAAAATATCTACAATTCCCTAACTACATGTTTTAAATGAATCTACTCTCGATACAAAATTTACAACATTGAATTATGATACCTGATGCGTGCATTGAGCCAGCAGTATTTTGAACTGCAGGTCACAGGTATCCCGGAAAGTTTAACCCCACACATTTACAGTTGATCCCATTGCCAAGTCATATTTAAACTGAACAGCTACATTTTTTGTAGCTTACGTCCGGCTCTATCCCACTGAAAAGTCTTAATACGGACCGTGCCACCAGGGCGACTTTATTTGGGCTATAAATTACGTAAAGTGAGTGCATCAGATTGAGGCTGACAAATGGGTAAAATCTCTCATTGATGGCTGAAAAGAGAACATTGAAATTGAAAGTATTGGGTACCCACCGAAGACGACGAGAAAAGAGAAAAGTATGGAAAAGGTAGCATAAGAAGTGAGTGAGGGGTTGCTTTATGTAATGAACTCACCGTGTCACTAAACTTCTTGTCCGGCTTTGGAAGACAATCCCTACACCGATGTTTCCCTGACCGCTACAGATTGATCCTCGTCCTCTCCAGGCAAACGTGTCCTTCCTAAAGTATTCAAGTTATATGCAACAAGTTTGAAAAATGTTCAAACTCGAATTTTTTTAATTCTGAAGGCGAAGCTATCTCCAGAACAACATAAAAACAAGATGAAAAGGTTTACGCAAACAATGAACTCCCAGAAGAAGTATCCGAAGGTTACTATACCACCACTTAAATTTAACGGTAAATGCTAGGAGAGAACAGTGGAATAAACATCTAACTGGTCTAACTGTAGATTTAATGACATTTCGGCTTTTCGGCATTCTTCAGAAAGACAAAAAAATAGTACAAACTAGAAAATAAAAGCTATTTATAATTGTATCGCTAATAAAAAGTACCGACTTTTATAAGTAGCATATGCAAAATAGATTTAAAATACAAACAAAATAACAGCTGTACGAGAAAAAGCGAGACGGAGTGATGTGACAAAAGTTGTGCAACTGCTCAAAAGACAACAAATTCTCCGCCAAAGGCCTCTAAATAATCATTGCTAAGGCCATAGCAATGTCTCAAAGTAGGGCCCTTAAACAATACTGTAATAAGATCCACAACCATTGTAAATAGTTTCTAGTTTATGATAATTAAAAAGTCTATCTGAAGAAGGCAGCTGAACAGTCGAAACAAATCTACAGTCGGACCAATTGCAAGTCTACCCCACTGTTCTCTACGGTAGAGTGCAGTATATGTTGAGTTAGGAAAAAGCAAAGACTACGCTTTCATCCCTGGCCTGTTTCGTGATTAATCACTCGTCAAGGGATTTTTTTACTCGTCAGAGCATTTTCCTAACTCAACATATATATCTAAAAAATTAATATTAAATATCTCTCGATAGGTTGTTATCATAAAATTTCAAAGCTAACCTAGCATAGAATTCACCCAGATTCTGTTTTAAAAATAAACCTGGTAGTGATTAGTTCATAAGCCACAATTAAAAAATTAAAACAAAATTTTTTTTTTTGCTTTTATTAACTTACAACTTCCAAGATTAATTCGTTCGGCTAATTTTTAAATATTTTTTTTTCGTTTTGTTTTGCTTTTAAAATTTGCTGAAAGTGGAAATGAAAGTTATCCATCCAAACAGTAGGGTCCGACAACTGTTTGAGAAACCTGAGCCCATCAACCGCAGAGAAAGTTAAGGATGGATTGTGCAGTCATAATTTATTATGTAAATAAAATATCATGGTCAACCTTAAAAAATTCTACAGAAAACTTAACATAGCTCAAAAGTGACCATGTTTCATAAGAGACTTACAATTTCATTAATCAATTTCAATTAATCAATTAATTGACAGAGAAGGACGCTGAAGGTTACCCATTTGTTATTAGCTGGCTAAGGACCAGGATTTCTTTCAAAATATTAAAGTCTGTAAATACTAGCATCAGAGGATCGCGCCAGCCCTTTTTTAGAAGTGACTGTACAACATGTACACTATACCTTGCTGTGGATTTGAGTTTCTCTGACCACTAAAACATTGTCCAGCTGAAAAAAATTAAGGCACAAGCTAAATTCAGTGAGTTATGACTCAAATTTTGAATAAAATATTTACTGACAGATTTGTTGCAATGAATATAAATTTTCAAATGTGATATACGATTCTATAAACATAGTCTGAGCAAAAAAACTTTACTTTTGCTCAGTGCCATGAATTTTTGTAGTATGTCAAGTACTTAAGGGGCACATTGAAAAAGCCATTTTAGGGAAACACCTGTCTTAATCCTAGCCAATTTGAAGCTACTCAAAATAGTTTGGCACATACACCAAAATGAAGATGACAGAAACTTTTTCAGCACAGTCTGCCAAATAATTTTCAATTTTGACAATTTTTCCTTAAAAAAGGTACCAAATGGTACACTTGTGTGGGATACATTGTTTTGCATGGTTAATAAAATTACAATTGGATTAACTGGTGCAATGAATGCAAAACAGATAACAAGTTAGTTTTGCAAGGATCATGGTTTCAAAAGAGGGGTTCACAGAGGGAGCTCCTTTATAAACACTTTGCCTGCAATGCAGCTATCCTAGTATTTGTGATTGTGTGATTGTGACCAAAAAAAGACTTAATGTGGTGATACGTATCCCTTGTAGAATCAGACATATTTAAAGCCTATGCTAATAGTATGTTTTTACTATGTTTAGCTATGTTTTACCTATGCAATGCTTGAGACTGCCTATGTAAATACTATTTTGCATGCAAACCACATAGTGTAGCGTATGTAAAGGTTATGTTGATACTATGAAAAATCTATTGAAAAAATTGATAGGTTTTAAACGTCTATGTAAAATCTATTTTAGTAAATACATCCTACTTATTTACTATATAACAATTAAAATCTCTGAAATATTGTAACATAGCTTTTGCATACTGCTATGTATTTCCTATGCAATGTAGAGCGTAACTTTTGGATCTAACATACATAGTGAATACATCCTATTTATTTACTATGTAACTATACAAAACTTTGAAAAATGGTAACATAGCTTTTACATACTGCTATGTATTTCCTATGCAATGTAGAGTGTAACTTTTGGATCTAACATACATAGTGAATACATCCTATTTATTTCCTATATAACAATACAAAACTTTGAAACATGGTAACATAGCTTTTACATACTGCTATGTATTTCCTATGCAATGTAGAGTGTAACTTTTGGATCTAACATACATAGTAAACACAGCCTATTTATTTACTATGTGACAATACAAAACTTTGAAACATGGTAACATAGCTTTTACATACTGCTATATATTTCCTATGCAATGTAGAGTGTAACTTTTGGATCTAACATACATAGTAAACACAGCCTATTTATTTACATACTGCTAAGTATTCTTTGTTTCGGAGTACTACAGAAAACAATGAACATCTCGAAATAACTTCAGGATGACATGTGAAAAACAAAGCAATATAAATATCTAGAAAGGTGTGATCGGTGCATCATGTAAATTTAGAGAAATATTTTTTTTCGAGGGGAGAGCATTTTACCGTTTGAACCAGCGAATTATGCTTAGCACATCCATTGATATGATTTTTGTATCAACTGTCTCCTACGAGTTATCTCTTTTTGTGATTTCTGGCTTATAACCACTGGCACATTACGTTTCCAGCTCTTTCCGTGACACTACGCACGACAGGAGAAAACGATAAACATCTTACAATCATTTCAGGATTGCAGGCCATTTAAAACAAAAGTTTTCCCTGCAGAAATATCTTAATAGGCGTGATCGGCGCACCATGAAATCTAGAGGAAATATTTCTTCTCTTGAGAGAAATCATTTTACCGTTTAAATCGACAATTCATTTAGATCCTTAGATATAATCCTTTCAGATCTTGCCGTGACTCTACAAAATACGATAAACATCTTAATATATAACTTCACCATAACATCCAAAGACGCGTTACTTAAATCAAAACCTTTCCTGGTAGAAATATCTCGATAGGTGTGATCACGGAAGCTTCGGGAAAATTTTTTTTTTTTTGTAAAAGAGAGCATTTTACTGTTTGAATCGGCGACTGACGTCGAAAAGAGCGGCTTCATTTGCGAAGATAGCATGAAGCTGCGAATTAAGATACCTTAAGTTATTCAACAATAGAATGATAGAATGCAGGAACGGCGGATCGGCAGAATGGCGGAATGCCTTTTTGTGTAAAACACAATTCTAAAAATATGGAATTACACTGAAGTAAGAAAAAATTTTGCAATTAGCAGGAGGAGTTAAAAGAAGCATAGGTAATCATTTGAGCCTATGAGGCTTTCTAGCCAGCCACTTTGAACTGATCTGTATTATTACGGTTAGCGTTATTATTATAAGTGTTATTAATATTATTATTTGTCACCAT